CTGTTTAGAGAAAATAAGCGGTTTTTTAAAGAAAACCATCTTTGTCTTGGGTTTTGTTAAATTTTCCCTTTCCAAACATCAAAAGGAAAGCAGAAGTATTTTAGATACCAACCATCCAGCATAGCAAATAAGGGACCTCTGAATAACTGGTGTGGAATTTTCCCCAAAGGGAATTTATAAACATTCAAAGCTTCAGGCGGACTGGTAGATAGCAAAGCTGACAGGAAGAGATCGCATGGACTGCATTTCTGGGTTGAAGCTGATGAAGACAGAAGTAAAGCTTGATGTTTGCAGCAGGTGAAATCATGTCTTACGACATTTTAGAAAATCTGGAGCGCAAATCTGTTTGTATAAGTGTATCCCCAGTAGCAATCCATTAGGTGTAAAATAGACTTCTTTCATCCCATGGCTAGAGATTTGGAAATCATGCAGCTGTCAAGAACTATGGGTGAACCCTGGCCTGGCGTGGTGGCTCACGCCTGTAATCCCAGCACTTTGGGAGGCTGAGGCAGACGGATCACCTGAGGCCAGGAGTTGGAGACCAGCCTGGCCAACATGGTGAAACCCCGTCTCTACTAAACATACAAAAATTAGCTGGGCATGGTGGTGCACACCTGTAAGTTGGTTAAGTAATTTGGAAATAAGATCTGAAACAGAATTGGAACCAAGTCTGTGGGAACGTTGCTTGACCAAGACTTCCATACTTTTTAAATCAACTGTATTAAAATATAAATTTCATACAGTAAAGGGCACACATCTTAGGTGTGCGGTTGGCTACATTTAGACAAATGTATACATCTATCTGTATAGCCACACCACAAGCAAGATACAAGACATTGCCATCATCCCAAAAGCCCTGCGCCTCTTCCCAGCCCAACCCCCAGCCCATCGCTCATCTATCAGTATAGTGTAGATCTGTCTTTCCTAGAGTTGCATATACAGGAGTATACAGGACACACTTTGGCTGGCTTCTTTCACTGGACATATTTTGCAATTCACGTTGCCTGTATCCATGGTTTATTGTATTATATGGATATGTCCCAGAATGTATTCACCTGTTGGTAGGCAAACGTTTAGGTTGGATTCCCAGTTTGGGGCTGTCCTGAATAAAGCTGCTGTAAATATTCAAGTATAAATCTTTCTGTGGATATGTTTTTGTTTCTCTTGGGTAGATATCTAAGAGGGGAATTTCTGGGTTACATATTAAGTATATATTAGCTTTTAGCTGGGCACGGTGGCTCACACCTGGAATCCCAGCACTTTGGGAGGCTGAGGTGGGTGGGTCACTGAGGTGGGGAGTTCGAGACCAGCCTGACCCTGCAGAAACCCCATCTCTACTAAAAATACAAAATTAGCTGGGCTTGGTGTTGCATGCCTGTAGTCCCAGCTACTCTGGAGACTGAGGTGGGAGAATCGCTTGAACCTGGAAGGCAGAGTTTGTGGTGAGCCCAGATCCTGCCATTGCACTCCAGCCTGGGCAACAAGAGCAAAACTTCATCTCCAAAAAAAGTATACCTTAGCTTTGTAAGAAACTGCTAAACTATGTTCCAAAGCAGTTGTACCATTTTCCGCACTAGTAATGTCCGAGAGTTCCATTTACCCAGCGTCCCACCAATACATTTTTCGTTTTAGCCACTCTGATATGTGTGTAGTAGAATGTCATTGTGATTTTAATTTGCATTTCCCTGATGACCGGTGGTATTGAACATCTTTTCATGTGCTGTTGACCGTTTGATGTCTTTTGGCAAACTGAAACAGGTGTTTCTGTATTCTGGGTATAGGAAAACCTCCTTTCCTTGGACTTTGCAGATACTGCGATTTTTAACCCTGCATCAAGCAAGCCTACTGGCACCATTTCCCACTGACATGTGCTCACATTGTGCAGCTGTCACAGATGGGTAATTTTCACTGTATTTCAAACTTCTTGATTATTATTCTGTTATGGTGATCTGTGATCAGTGGTGATCTGGGATCAGTGATCTTTGATATTACTCTTGTAATTGTTTTGGGGGGCCAGGAACTGTGCCCATATAAGTGGCAAAGTGAATGGATAAATGTGTGTGCTCTGAGTGTTCCATCGACCAACCATTCCCCCATCTCTCTCCCCTCCTCAGGCCTCCCTATCCCCTGAGATACAAGAACATTGAAATTAGTCCAATTAATAACCCTACAATGGCCTCTAGGTGTTGACGTGAAGGAGTCCTGCACCTCTCACTTTAAATCAAAATCTGAGAATGATTAAGCTTGGTCAGGAAGGCACTCAAGGCTGACAGCCATGCCTCTTGCACATTGTGAATGCAAAGGAAAAGTTCTTGAAGGAAATTAAAAGTGCTGCTCCAGTGAACAAAATGATCAGAAAGTGAAACAGTCTTATTGCTGATACGGAGAAAGTTACAGTGATTCGAGTGGAAAATAAGGCCCTCGCTCTTCAGTTCTGTGAAGGCTGAGAGAGGTGAGGAAGCTGCAGAAGAAAAGCTGGAAGCTAGCAGAGGTTGGTTCATGAGATTGGATGAAGATGCTGTCTCCATAATGTCAAAGTGCAAAGTGAACAGCGAGTGTAATATAGAAGCTGCAGCAATTTCTCCAGAAGATCTAGCAAAGATTATTGATCACAGTGGCTAAACTTTTTTTTTTAAGACTGAGTCTTGCTCTGTCACCAGGCTGGAGTGCAGAGTGGCGCAATCTGAGCTCAGTGCAACCTCTGCCTCCCAGGCTCAAGCGATTCTCCTGCCTCAGCCTCCCAAGTAGCTGGGACTACAGGTGCGCACCACCATGCCCAGCTAATATTTTGTATTTTTAATAGAGATGGGGATTTCACCATGTTGGCCAGGCTGGCCTCGAACTCCTGACCTCAGGCAATCCGCCCACCTCAGCCTCCCAAAATGCTGGGATTATAGGTGTGAGCCACCACGCCTGGCCCACTAAACAGATTTTTAATGTATATGAAACAGCCTTCTGTTGGAAGAAGATGCCATCTAGGACTTTGATAGCTAAAAAGAAGTCAATACCTGTCTTCAATGGACAGGTTGACTCTCTTGTTAGAGACTAAGGTCACTGGTGACTGTAAGTTGAAGCCAGTTCTCATTTACTATTCCCCAAATCCTAGAACCCTTAAGATTTATGCTAAATCTACTCTGTCCTCTATAAATGGGAAAACAAAGCCTGAATGGGAGCACATCTATTGCCAGCATGGTTTATGGGATATATTAAGCCCACTGTAGAGACCTCTTGCTCAGAAAAAAGATTCCTTTGAAAATATTACTGCTTGTTTACCATACACCTGGTCATCTAAGAGCTCAGATGTACACAGAGATTAATGTTTTCATGCCTGCTAACACAGCGTCTGTTCTGCAGCCCATAGACTGAGAAGTCATTTTGACTAATTGAAGTCTAATTTTTATCTTTTGAGGTGGAGTTTGCTTTGTTGCCCAGGCTGGAGTGCAGTGGCACGATCTCAGCTCACTGCAACCTCTTCCTCCCAGGTTCAATCGATTCTCCTGCCTCAGCCTCCTGAGTAGCTAGGATTACAGATGCCCACCACCATGCCTGGCAAATTTTTGTATTTTTAGTAGAGACAGGGTTTCACCATGTTGGCCAGGCTGGTCTTGAACTCCTGTCCTCAGGTGATCCACCCACTCAGCTTCCCAAAGTACTGGGATTATAGGTGTGAGCCACCACACTCAACCTCAAGTCTTATTATTTAATTATATTTCATAAGGTTATGGCTGCCATTGATAGTGATTCCTCTGATGGATTTGGGCAAAGTAAATCAAAAACTTTCTGGAAAGGATTTGCCATTCTAGATGCCATTAAGAACATTCAAGATTCATGGATGAAGGTCAAGATAACAGCATGAATATGAGTTTG